TCTAATTCACTGATTTGCATTAAGATAGTAAAACTGATCAGAGCTTGGAGTGCCTAGCTAGCTCAGTCAGGGAGCATGCAACTCTTGATCTCGGGGTTGTGGTTTCAGGCCCCATGTTTGATGTGGATCTTGCTTGGAAAAAAATACTGATAGAAGCTGAACAAATTATCTCCTCCCAGATTTGCATTTTAACCTTAATTGTTAAGTTATGTTAATAAAATGGGTATTTCTGACCCTCATAATGGAGCCAAGGAAGTTTGGTTTTCCCTGGCATCCCACCATACCAACACATCAAACGCATACTTTATAGGACTTTTTTGTAGGAATAACCCTAATCTTCATTACAGGTACATCAGTAGTAAGCAAAAAGGGAGAAAATTATTCACAATGAGACTAGTCAAATTATAATTCTTTTGCCCAGTTTAATTTTGTGATTAACTAATGACAGTATTAAGCCAGTTTTGTCTTAATTCAGTAAAATGTTATAAGCATAAGCAAAAAAGTTAAATGTTTAAGTCGTTCTTTAATACTATCATTCATTTGCATGAAAAGAAGAAACAATTTCATAAGTGTTAAATAGTAAAGTTATACGAATTTCCTTCTGTGATCCGTTCTGAGACATTCATGCGAAGAGATGAAAGAAAACTTCATTGTTGCTAAGAAGACCTCTTTTATGTCAGCTTTTTTTTTTTTAAAGATTTTATTTATTTGACAGAGATCACAAGTAGGCAGAGAGGCAGGCAGAGAGAGAGAGAGAGAGAGGAGGAAGTAGGCTCCCTGCTGAGCAGGGAGCCCGATGTGGGGCTCGATCCCAGGACCCTGGGATCATGACCTGAGTCCAAGGCAGAGGCTTTAACCCACTGAGCCACCCAGGTGCTCCAGCTTTTGTTTTCTACTGATTGGTTGATTCTTCATTATTTTTCTAAAGATCAGGAGCCATACATCTCATTTAGAAATTAAGAAACCTGTATAAAGCCTATGTTGTGCTTAGTTCTATAAACACTAGTTTTAGGACCAGAGATAAAATGAAATAGATGAAGACTATCTGCCTTACATACAACTTCTTTTCCCTTGAAGAATCTCCTCTGGAAATGTTGTTTTCTAGAATTTCATTAATCTCTGGTTAGCTGAACAAGGAGAAGCCTATATACACTAGATGGCTAAAGCAATGATGTCACCAAGTAGGCCCTCTGGCCTGAAAGGAAGTCACCTTAAGATGGCAGAGAAGAGCAAAGTGATTATCCTAGCTCCTGCACATGAAGAACTGTTAGCTCTTTTTTTTTTTTTTTTTTTTTTAAGATTTTATTTTTTCAGTAATCCCTACACCCAAGGTGAGGCTCAAATTTACAATTGCAAGATCAAGAATCATATGCTCTACCTTCTGAGACAGCCAGGTGCCCCAGAATTGTTGGCTTTTTTTTTTTTTTTAAGATTTTATTTATTCATTTGACAGACAGAGACCACAAGTAGGCAGAGAGGCAGGCAGAGAGAGGAGGAAGCAGGCTCCCCGCTGAGCAGAGAGCTCAATGCGGGGCTCGATCCCAGGACCCTGGGATCATGACCTGAGCAGAAGGCAGAAGCTTTAACCCACTGAGCCACCCAGGCACCCCGGTTTTTGTTTTTTTTTTTTATTATTGCATGCATATATCTTGAAACTACAGTATGAAGTTTCCTTTAATTGATGTAGTACTTTGCTGCATTGATTGCTGCTTTATATTCAGCTTTTTGGCTTTTTGCAACACTGAAGTATTTCAATTTCTAAATGGTTTGGGAAGATGTAAATAATTATACAAACAATTATGGTTAACCACCTATACTTTTCTTTATATATATATATATAAATATATAAAAAAATATATTTATGTTTTATTTTTAATGTGAGTGAGAGAGACAGAGCGCATGAGTCAGGAGAAGGACAGAGAGAGGGAGAAGCAGACTCTCCACTAGGCAGGAAACCTGATGAGATGCTTGATCCCAGGACCCCAGAATCATGACCTGAGCCAAAGGCAGTTACTTAACAAACTGAGCCACCCAGGTGCCCCCCCTTTTTTTTAAGAATGGGCTTAAAAACATGTACAAAGTTAAAATAAAATTTAAATACCTCAATAATCTTTCCTCATGAAAGATCACTGTCTGGCTCAGTTGGAAAAAGAAGCCACTCTTGATCTCAGAGCCATGAATCCGAGTCCCACATTGGGTATAGAGATAACTTAATTAACTAAAAAGAAGAAGAAGAAGAAAAAGAAAAAGAAGAAGAAAGAGTACTTTCCTTCATGAAAGGTACTTTTAGGGGGTGCCTGGGTGCTGCATTCATTAGGTGTCTGCCTTCAGCTCAGATCATGATCCCAGGGTCCTGGGATCCAGCCCCACATCAGACTCCCTGTTCACCGGGAAGCCTGCTTCTCCCTCTCCCTCTCTCTCTCCCTCCCCCAGCCTTTGTTCCACCTGGCTGTCTCTCTCTCTGTGTCAAATAAATAAATAATCTTTTAAAAAAAGAAAAAGGTATTCTTAATATCTTCTTGGCATGGTTTACTAAAGTGTTATAAGTTAAAATTTCAACTCTAACCCCTGTCCTTTCTCTCTATACTTTTCCAGATCCTTTCTTTGCTTTCTATGAGAAAGGGAGTCTAAAACTTTGTTCAAAATGTTTCTCACAGTACTGTAACTAATTTTAACGTCTACAGTGTTTATCCTCCAGTGAACTATTCCTTTAGTACAGAAATGAAACTCAATTTAAAGGATTATAAATATGAACAAAACTCAGTTCCTGACCTCAAGGAACTTTACAAGATAGCAATAATCCTGAGAGAAATAATAATGATAAATACATATACTTTTTTCTCTTTACACTTTCAGAAGGGTTTACACATGCAAAAGTTCATTTGATCTTTAAAACATCCTTGTAAGAAAAACAGGACAGACACTATTTTCCTAACTTTACAGAGGAGACAGAAGTAAAACATGCAACACATTTAAAGAACTAGATAAACTGTCATACATTGTGATAACTAGATAAACATGCTTTATCATTATACACATACCCATCCTTAGGTTATCCTTAGAAAGGTTTCAAGGCTTAAGAAAATATCTATCCCACTTATTTCCACAATGCTTAAAATCTCATTTTATTTTTATTTTATTATTTATTTATTTATTAAAAGACTTTTTAAGTAATCTCTATCCCAATGTAAGGCTCAAACTCACAACTCTGAGATCAAGAATCACACACTCCAGGGTTTCTGCATGGCTCCGTCAGGTAAGCATCTGCCTTGAACTCCCGGTCATGATCCTGGGGTCATGGGACTGAGTCTGGCATCGGTCTCCTTCTTCAGCATGGAGCCTGCTTCTCCCTCTGCCTGCCTCTCCCCCTGCTTGTGCTCTCTCTCTCCCTGAAAAATAAATAAATAAAAATCTTTAAGACGGAAAAAAAAAAAGGAGACACAAAATTTCTAGCTTCACAATTTTGCTACTGCTATTGCCAAAACTCTGGGCTCAGTTTCAGTTTCCAGTAGGGTTATGTTGGAAATTCATTTCCAAGGTCCAAGTTACCCTCACAGGCCACCAAGTGAACACTTAACAGTCCTTTAAAATTAAATCAGCTTTGGGGGCACCTGGGTGGTTCAGAGGGTTAAGCCTCTGCCTTCGGCTTAGGTCATGATCTCAGGGTCTTGGGATCGAGCTCAGCAGGGAGCCTGCTTCCTCCTCTCTCTCTGCCTGCCTCTCTTCCTCCTCTCTCTCTGCCTGCCTCTCTGTCAAATTAATAAATAAAATCTTTTAAAAAAAATTAAATCAGCTTTGGTATCTTCTACTTCTTAACCTGCATTTGCCTCCCCCTACCTGTTAGAGCCCTTGTTCTTTCTTTAGAATTAAAAACGGTGTCTGATTGGCTCAATCAGTAGAGCATGGGATTCTCCATCTTAAGCCTCACACCGGGCATGGAGTCTACTTAAAAAAGAGAGAATTAAAAAGGCTAATTCTAAAGCCATTTCTTGCTGCTTTCTTCTATCTATATTCACTTACTAAGACCATATCTTGTCATCTGCCATTCTATTTCAGTATTACTCTCTCAACTTTTTTCTTGTATATTTTCCTCGAATTAAAGGTTCTGTGGCTCACTCTATTTTTAAAAAATCAACTGCAGGGTGTTGCTACACCTTAATCAAACTTTAGGTCTGAGTCCTGTAGTATTTTCTTTCCCTATTTCCTCCATTAAACCCTTTATCTCTTTCTACCATTGAAATGAAGGTCATAGACCTCTCAGTGCCTAGCATGGTGCCAGGCACATTAGGTGTCCAAAAAATATTTGTCAAGTGAACCTTTCCTAACTTTAAAACTATTGATAGGAACATTTAGTCTAACAAACTGGAAATTCTTGTAGCTTCCTCAAAGTTAACAGGCTCCTAAATTCTTTGTCAATTAGGATTCCTAAGATATTTCTCATTTTCATGAAAGACTGGAATAGAAAATTCTAAAAGTGAGCACAAAGACTGAAAAGCAGCTGTAAGGTTAAACAAAAATTGCAGGATTTTGTCTTCCTTTAATTCATTCACACTCTCAGGATCCAAGAAACAACAGGTTTATGTTCTACCTACTTCACAAGTGGGACATGGCCTCAGAACTGAGGTATCAGAATCATTAAAATTTTATCTTGTTAGGAAACTGTCTACTTACTTTAAAAAAAGGGCAAATTGCCATTTCTCCCAGTGTGGGGACTGTGGAAACAAGGGAAACCCCTCCACATCATTTCCACAGTCCCATATTATGCGAGGGAGCATCTAATTCCATCAATTCATTAAGCATTTTTAAGAGAATTTTTGGCCAGCACCATACAAAGAGCTGTAGAGGGACACCCAAGCAGAGCAAGTGCACATTCCTTGTCCCCAAAGAGGTTACAATGCAGAGAGAACCAGGCGCGGAACTCAGAACAAAAGCTGTGACTGCATAATAATGTATTGGGGTGTGGGGGATGGGGATCTGAAAGCCTAGTTACTAGGAAAGCAATTTCCAGGAGGTGAGAGCTTAGGCCAGCTCGGGAAGAAGTTGATTGTAATGATCTGCAAGAGTGAAAGTTGGAGGGCCTTCTACTTAGGAGACAAACATCTGCCCTGATTTAAAAGGTGGGAAGTGCCCGAAGTGTGTGAGACCGTAAAGAGACTGACCTAGCAGTCAAAGGTTGATAAGGGGAAAGACTGATTTTGAGGTTATAATGGGTAAGTTTGGGGAAGACTTTTGATGACATGTGAAGGAAGAAGACTTTTGTTGTTGTTACAGTAAAAAGCGTAGATTTCATGAGATGGGTGTAAAACAAATAGGAAAATTACATGAGAAAAACCTCTCAATTACCCCCAGAGAGGTTCCGGAGGGGTATCAGGAAACAAGCTAGACATGCCATAATTTAGGCCTAGGTTAAGACCCAGAATAAAATGGTAGCGGAAGAAATTTTAGATTTAAAGATTTAAAGGCATGTTTAAATCATTATTCAGTTAACCTCAACCCCTTTCACCTTGTACAGATTGACAAGTGCTTTTATTTAGCTAGCTATTTTTTTAAGATTTTTGTTTTTAACTAATCTCTGTAGCTAGCATGTGGTTTGAACTCACAAACCCAAGATCAAGAGCCTCATGCTCCACTGTCAGAGCCCCAAGGAGCGCTTTGGAAGAGCTTCCTACAGACTGGTTTGGGGTCTGGTATTCGTCCCACTCTAAAAACTCTTGAAAAGAGAGAGAAGGGGCCATATACTCCAACAAGATAATTTATAAAAAAAAAGAGCTCTCAGAAGAATAGGAATGGCAGATATAGTTGGTTTGACCTATGTATCCTTCATTTAGTATTTTTTAAAGTAAGATTTTTTTTTTTTTTTAAGTAATCTCTCTGCTGAATGTGGAACCTTACTTGCCCAACTGCTAACTGAGGAAACCGAATTCAAGGGGGATAACCTGGAGCTCACACCTAGGTTGCACCTCGGAAAGGAAACTTTTTCTCCAGGAATTTCTACGCCAGTTAATTTGCACTCATTTTGAAAATAATGGAATTGGCGCGCGTCTCTACCAAACAATTTGACGCGGTGTGAGTCGCAGAAATGCTGTGGCAGAGTACTTAAGTCCGTGGAATATTCTGCATCTTACAGAAAAGTGCTCAACAGTGGCTGTACCGTCCCAGGCCGCGACGGTGAGGACAGGTGCGAAGCCTGCCTTGGGAAGAAGCTGCTACGGTCTACGCAGAGCCATACGCAGGCCAGGAAAAGCATCCCCTGACGCGGACGGGAAGCCCGGGTACCTCCTGCCCTTCAGGCCTGCTCCCGCAGCGGGTAGACAGCCGCCGAATGGATCTGCACCCCCAACACTCCCAAGGCCCGGGGGTGGGGTGGGGGGAGCGGGGCGGGGCGTGGTCACTAGTGACGTAGCCGCTCAACCGGACCACCGCCGCCGCCGTCGCCGCCGCCGCCGCCGCGGCCCCCACCGAACCCGGGGGCGGGGGTCCCGGGGTGAGCGCAAAGATGGCCGCTCGGGCTCGGGCTGGTGAGTGTGCGTGACCGGCGCGCTGCTGCGGCGGTTGCCCGAACGGGGTCTCTGCGGGAGCGAAGGTTCCACTGGAGCCCCCAGGGCTGGGAGGCACCTGGCGGCGTTTCCCCGCCGCGGAGGACGTAGGGGGATCCCTAAGGGAGGGACGGGGTGGCTGCGGGCGGACTGAGGGGAGCGAGCCCAGGGGCGCGAGGAGGAGGCGGTGGCAGCGGCGGCGGGTCCAGCGAATTTAGAATTGGCGCCTCTGGGAAGTTTCGGTGGGTTGTGCGATGCCCTGGCCGGGGTCCCGGCGCCCGACCACCTCAAGAGTGCCTAGAGATGCTGCGAAGAGCCGCGTTCCTGTGGCCCCGGTCATCGCGTAGCCACCTCGCGCTGGGCTGGAGGGGGACGAGTTGGGAGAAGGGGTGAAATAGCAAGACTTTCGGGGATGCGGAGGGGAAGATGTTCACTGACCGGCGTTCGAGAGCGTTGAGGAGCTGTGATCGCGAATCTGATGCGCGCTGGGGCCCTCTGCAGAGCTGGTTCTGTGGAGATAAAACCGAATCCTACCTCTGCTCTGATTGCCGCCAAGTGATGCTCCAAGCCCCCTGGGAGGCGTTGGAAGGGCAGTTTCTAGCCCTCCGTTTGCGAGGAAAGGCTTGCCTTCCCTCCTTGGATTGAGTCCCTGCATTAACAGCACCTGCTACCACTTAAGAGACACTTGCGATTTTTGAATACCAGCTTCCTAAACCATCCCCGCTGGCCTTCGGGGAAGGAATGCTAATAGGCTAAACCCATTTTTGAGGCATAAGAAATGTGTCAGCATTCGAAGAAAGAAATGCTCAAGTTTAAGAGGCGGTAGGACACCCTCCTCCTGCCCCCATTCCCAATTAAAAAAAAAAAAAAAAAAGTGAAACATGGTAATTGTTTCAACCAAGTTTGACCTGTTGTAAATTCTTCTGGTAACTGGGTAATTTCTTGTAGTTTTAATTTTGGAAGTAAACAATTTAGCAAGTCTTAAGAGAGTCGCTTTGTCTTTAAGCCCTCCCGAGTTCCCCCACTCTTAAACTCTAATGGTCATATCTTGCAAGTAACGGGATTGTGAAATTAGCATGGAAATAGGACCTTCAGGCCCTGCACTTGAATTCCTTATTATCTGTGAAGTAGCTGCCTGTGGGGAAAAAGTAGGGGGTTGGTAACATTGGGCCTGGAATTCCATTTTGAGTTGTCCTTAAAACCAGTATTCAGTGTAAACAAGGAAAAAGAATTGGCTATTCACTCTGATCAAATTCAGAAAGCCAACAGGAGTTAAGCACATGTTTATAGAATATTTCATAATCTCGGTGAGATTCAATATTTAGTTGTCTTGAAAGAGAGGAAAACTTCGTATTCTCAGAACCTTAATCTTTTTATCCTTAATTTAGCATCTTGGGACTTGAAAGAGATTTTTATTTTTGTTTAATTTCCCCCACCTCACCCCCAGAACTTAGAGATTTTTAACGTTTTGACTTTGTTTAGTTTCCTCTCCTTCTTGCTCTGATTTCTCTAACTTTTGGGGTACTAGCTATTAATTTTGCAATGGATGGCAGATTTTTCAGTCTAGGATTTTTCATTGTAGATTATCCGTATTGAAATTTAGAGATATTCTAATATTGAACAAGGAGTTCGATGCGTACATTGTAGAAAGCTGAACTTTTTTTTTTAGCTGTTTTGATTGAACATTTATCTTGTTTTTCTTTCAAAATATTAATTGTCCAAGATCTTTTAGCTTACAAACATTTAAGTGCTAAGTAAATCTGTGTTGAGCATGCTATACAATGATACGCTTTTTCTAATTCTTAAAATGGAAAATCTGTTGAAGATTCGGATTAAATATTTGACATATATTGTTTCTACTTAATTGTCTCTACCCCCCTTTGTAACAGATTTTTCGTTTTCTACTACACAAAGGAATAAGTTATCATATGTACCCGCTACCGAACTTTTCCTTTACGTACTTGAATCTTACTGAGTATTATAGCATTGGTGGTATATAAGAGGATTTTCTGCTCACTGGGTTGAGGGCTGAGTCTGATTATATTTTGTTTGTATCCCCAGTACCTGACTATTTGCTTAACGTAGAGGAAAACCCCCTGTAAATGTTCGTGTTTTTGAATGGTACAGAGATACAGAGAAAGGCAACACCTTGGCTTCTTGGTGGCCGAAAAAGGATGCTTGGAAGTTTTTCTCCTTCCTGTAATGTTGGGCAGAACAAACCGGGTTGCCGGATTCTTTTGCAATTGTCTGGTTGAGGGGGATTAGAGAGACTAGGACACAGGTTTAAGAGTCTAATCAAGGCAGGAAATGTGGGAAATTGTTCTGCCCTTAGGCCCAACCTAAATAGGTGACAAGTAACTAAAATATAGGAGGATTTTATAATACTGGCTTTCTGGCAGTGATTAAGATTATTAAAGTATGGTGGTTTTTCACAGCACCTTCAGATACCATAAAACTTTATTATTAAGAATTCACTTTTAGTGGAGTTCTCCATAACATAGGAAAAGCTAATTTATGCATGATAGGCCAAGTCATGAATGTGCTAGAATGATAGTCTAGGCATTTTACACAAAGTATTTGAATTCTGTTTTCTAGACCCATATTACAATGCTCAAATTTTTTGTGAACGTTTCCCCCACTGTTATGAAATTAGCACCAGATTGATGTGGAAGTATGGTGGCATGACACTAATGATAAATATTTTGGAACAAAATTGCCCATGATTGAAATACTTAAAAATAGTGATGGGTGAGGAAATCAAATAACCTGGTGGCAGAAACTTGCTTTCCACGAGCTTTTTCTTAGAACATCATCAACTAGATTCAATCTCTGTGCTTCTGGGGAGGCAGTGTTAGAGACATGAAGAAGGTTCAGGGTAAAAAGGTACCTTTTTTGTTTAATGAGGAGTTTCAAGCGAGATCAGAGTAATTATAGATTCTAGGTCTCTAGAGGAAGAAAGAATAACCAGGGTCTTTCTAGGGATAAAGGAAAGGAAATACATCATGATTGACAAGAGGTGCCAAAGCACATAATAGGCATAATAGCATACCTAAGAGGGAAAAGGGAGTTCATTGTGTTCGTTCAATAATTTCTAACTTCAAAATTTTGAAGCCCTTTGTACCAGGCACTATGCTTGACCCTTGGTATTTTGCAAACATCTTTTCAGAGTACAGGGTACTAATAAAATAAATGGAAATTTGGAAACTGCTCATAAGGACTGGGTAGGGTCTGCCCTAATTACCATGGATAAGGTTATTTTTATTCTCATTCAAATACATGCAAACATTGAGGTGGCTAGTAATTCATAAGACCTACTTCCTATTGAAATTGCCATTTCCTTCTATCTTTTATTATGGAAAATAACAGATCTTCCTACTTTTAATAGCTTTTAGAGGATCTGTTTAGGTTATTTGGTACTGTTGAAAGAAAATTAAGTTTTGTGGCGCGCCTTGGTGGCTCAGTTGGAAGCAGCTGACTTTTGATTTTGGCTCTAGTCGTGATTTCTGAGTGAAATCAGCCCTTATGGGGCTCCTGCTCAGCATGGAGTTTGCTTGGGTTTCTCTCTCCCTCTCACTCTGTCCCTCTCACCTCAAATAAATAAATAAATCTTTAAAAAAATAGTTAAGTTTTATTGTAATAATTATCTTTGTTAAAATTCAACATATGCCAACTCT